TGATTGAAACAAATGAAAAATCTGTTGGCGCAACCTCTGGTAAGTATTGATGATGTGGGAAAACTCTCCTATCCAATTGATCTTACTTTTACTTTGGTTCATTTTGCAATGTGTTTCCTTGCATTATCATGCTGGAGTTAAACACCTTTACTGTTTACCAAAGCAGGATATTTCCAATGTAATGCTTCATTTACACAATCAAGTTCAAGTTACTGACTAGTCCTGGGTTTGACAATAAACTACATCTGGCAGCAAGACCTCTGGTCAGGAGATTGGAGGTTTTAAGGTGTGTGTGTGTGTGTGTCCCTTCTTAATTACTGTTGTTCCTAGGTCAACTCTGACCTGGCACTTGTTAGGGTCCCAGTTATGGGCAAATAGTTAACCTCCAAACAAAACACTGAAAGTATAAAAATACATTTTTATAGTAAAAATACCTGTCATACATTTTTACATATAAAAAAATAAATGACCAATAATACCTTTTATCTGTAGTTGAAGCCATAAAACTGTAAAAAAAAATATATTTAAATTTCAGCATTAAATAACCCACAGAGATCTTGATATGCCACTAAACAAAATCAAACAACCAACATGAAAGAACTTTCTTTTAATCCATGTAATATCTGACACCGTATTAAATCAAACTTTATTCCAATATATAACATCAGCAAAACTACAACATAAAACACACATATCACTGCCACTAGTAATTATATCCACACAAACAAGTATATGCACAAAAGCTGAGTATCATCTACCATGTCTTCAATTGTGAAAGCAGAATAAAATATATATATATATATATATATATATATATATATATATATATATATATATATATATATATATAATATTCTACCAATATATGACTTCAACAAAACTACAACATAAAACACACATATCACTGCCACTAGTAATTATGTCTACACAAACAAGTATATGCACAAAGGCTGAGTATCATCTACCATGTCTTCATTTACATTATTCATATTGTTTAGACTGTTGTCCTCATCTTTATTGTCATGTTCATGATGTTTCAACCATTGTATGCACCAACCTTCTTCAGGTGATTGGAATTTTGGACTGAACACTTTATTTCGGCCACCGGGGTAGATTGTTCTAGTTCTATGCCTCTTTGGGATGTCCCAGTTATCTTTCTTTAACTCAGCTCCCCAAGTTTTTTGTTCGCCACTGCTGTAGCCAGGTATTGAACTTGAACAAAAATAAAGGGTTCAGTTTGAAATTCCAATCACCTGAAGTAGTGTACAATGGCTGAAATGTTGTGAACATGACTATAAAGATGAAGACAACAGTCAGAATAATGTAAATAATGTAAGCTATTACAATACCTAATCTCAGAAATATAGATATACCATGTATTCAATTGTGAAGGCAGAATAACATATCATTTTATTACTCTAAAGCTCCCAAGAAAATTAAATTTTGATATTAAATGACCCATAAGTTGATGTCATTAAACAATTTATTGACAATAAACATTTAAAATGCTGGTGTCCTTCCATGTTCCAGAAACTTGTGATGGACAACACCTTTCATGGCCCACCAGACACAAAGCAAGGATTTCTCTAAACAACTGAGTCCTGATTTTAGTGTTGGCACTGGGTTCTGATTTTTGATAACCACTGTCTTTTTTTATTTTCTGTTGACATGTAAAATGCATTTTTCATCACCTGTTGCAATGCTAAGCAAAAGTGGAAGGTTAGCCTTGCTAGTTAAGACTGCAACAGATGTTGTAACTTTGTGTTTGGCTCTCAAGTGAGAGCTTATGATGAACAAATTCTCTCTTTACAAGTTTTCCCAATTCAACCCTAAAATACATTACAAATGACACATTGTCACATAGAAGAGAATGATAAACAAATTTTGGTGCAATTTCCTACCATTTAACTTTGGTTTTGTCTTTGGTTTAATAATTCATATCGGTGAAATATGCAATTACTTGTTAAACATCCTAAAATATATATCTGTTGTGATCTAAGAAGAAAGTGTTTATCTTTGCTAAGTTGTTAATGGAACACTTTTATGATAAAGACTATGGCTTTTATAGGTTGTGTTAGGAGTAGTATTAGTAAGCAGGGATAGTGGTGAGAGTAGAATAGTAGTCACCACAACATTCTCCCCTAGTGACTAAGAACAATGTTTAAGATCAGGTTAAATTGTTTTATTCAAAATAATCTTGTAAGTACTGGGCTCTTTATTTGATATTTGTAGAATGACATAATGTGATATTTGTAGAATGACATAATGTGATATTTGTAGAATGACATAATGTGATATTTGTAGAATGACATAATGTGATATTTGTAGAATGACATAATGTGACTGGAGAAAAAGGCTGGGCTATGTCTTTGCTTTGTTCAGGCAAAAAGTTCTCTTGAATTTCATGTATTTTCATTATTGCATATATCTGGTCAGCATCAGCATTCTTGCTCGGGCACCAGATTGAACCAGTCAGTAGAATTTTGATCTGTTAACGATAAATGATATGAGAATAGCAAGAAAATTTGAGTTGTCATTTTGTAATCTTTCATTTTTTTTTATTTTATTTTCCTGCTTGTTGTAGCATACCTATGGACAATAATTGGTATATCCCTATTCACATAAATACAGTAGTAAATTCTGTATGTTAGTCGGCATTTGGAGATTCATTGTGGAATTCACTTGACTCACTTCTAGCAGTCGACTACTTCTATGCACAGCTGGCAAATCTTATATGTGTTGTTCTTGTCCTAAGTATTATCATTCATTACCAACCTTTGTTTGATTATTCTATTCAGTAACCTGCCTTAGGTTACAACACTGCTCTTCTTCCATCGAACATAAATGTTACAAATGTTTGATCTGTTATTAGTTGAAAATGCTTTCCCAGCATATAATGTTGCCACTTATGCAAAGACTCTACATATGCCTCTTTTTCGATAGATGAATGTTTATGTTCGGTGACTATTAATGTCCTAGAAAAAAGGCTAAGGGTTTGTCATTTTTGGCTGAGTGTTGTGGCGATAGCTTGTTTTGAGGTGTCAGTTTCAACAACAAAAGGTATATCATTTTCAATGGTAAAGACCACAGTCTTTATTGAGGTCTTGCTTAATATTTTTAAAACCCTCAACAGTGGAATGTTCTAATGGAAATTTTTGAATTATTACTAGTGGATGCATTTTCTGGGAAAATTAGTATACACAATTACAGTAATGGGAGAACAAACTGATTGCTTGGCATAAGGAAGCTTTCTTAGATGGAACTTCTTAAGTTTAGGAGACATTGCAAACGTTCTGGATTGGGTTTTATAATAACACTTGAAATGGTGTAACCCAGAAGGTTAATGGAATTTTGACAGAATATGCTTTTATTTTGATTGAAGGTTAAATTAATGTATTTGGCAAATAAATAAATTTATGTAAATTTTCATCATGCTCAGATTCAGTTCAGCCATATATAGTTATATTGTCAATGTAATCGTAAGTGTCTTTAATGTTGTTATCCCTAATTATTTGATCAATAACCTTTGAAAAGCTGTGACCCCATTTGTAATCTTGAAAGGGACCCGGCAGAACTGATAAAGTTTGCCATTTGCTTCAAAAGCTGTAAAAGGTTTATCTTGTTCTTTTATCCAGAGTTGATGGTACACAGTGCGCAGATCAACTGAACTTTTCTATTAAGTCATAGTTAGAGGATAAGCATCTAGCAAAGTAAATCAGAATGTCATGTCTATTTATTACATCAGCACATAAGTTATCAAAAATAATTAGTTGTACTTTCTTATATGTGTGATTGCCAATGATAACATCTGCTATGTAGTGTCCTGCTACTTTAGACTGTAAATTGGTAGCTGCCACAGACATGACTTTGTTTCCACCTATACCTTTTCATTTGTGAATGACTTATAAAATGGTAGAACAGCTTTCAACAAATTAAGGGCTATGGTTGCCAATGTATTGCAGGTAGTTGCTGAAGAAGTAGACCCAGAAGACTTGGGTTTAGACCTACAGACTTTCACACAGTGTCTGACCGTACACACAGGATTTACCTCCCTGACTGGGCGCTGTGTTTGAGGGGGGTGTTTTCTGAACACACAGAAGGAATACTTAGCCTTTAAAGCAGACGCAATTGTTTGGTCAGAAGAAGTACTGTTAATAATAGTATTGGGGATTGGGTCAGCTGCATTAATGGTATAGTCAAACTTTGTATAAGTGTCTAGATTTCTTTTAAGCTTCCTCCAAGGAATGTGCCTGTTCAGATGCTCTCTCCAAGTCTAAGGTTTTGTTCTCCAATAGACATTTTGGCAAATGTAGCTGGAATATATCCCGTTAATAAGGGTGTTTCTAAGGTGTTCGTTTTTGCACTCCTCAGCAGTATAAGACTGAAAATTGTAGCCCTGAGTTAAAAGCTTTAGATTTTTGAGGTACTGATCCAGGTTTTTGTTTTGATTTTGTTTGCAATTGGAGAGTAAATGTCATGCATTAACCTTGTTCTTAGGCTTAATGCAGAGCTTTCTGAGCATTTCCACAGCTGTCTTGTAAGAGGTTGATTCTTTAACATGTTTGTAAATTGCCAGGGGACAGAAAGTTAATAAGTACATATAATAAGGTTGTCCCAACAGGGTCAATAGCATCAATAAAATTGTTGAAAGTTTTAAACCAATGGTGTCATTGCTCTACAGTGTCACTCTCATTAGGGTCTGCCTCGAAATGACAGGGTTTCAGATATCTTTCCGTAGTTTATGTTAAATAAATTGTTGTGAGCTAAGAAGAAAATGTCTAGTATTATTCAACATAGAATGTTGCTAGGTTGTTAACAGAACTCTTCTATGATTAGACTATGGCTTTTATGGATTGTGTTAGGAGTAGTGGAGGTGGCAGTGAGACTAGAATAGTAATCACCACGACAGATATATGCACAAACAAATGATATTATATATTCATATCACTTTAATATTGACTTTAATATATTAACTGTTGCTGATGTGAATCTTTTTCCAGGACTACCCATGGGAGAGTGCTTCAGTTTCTGTCTGAATACAATTCTCAGTGATGTAGCTCACACTGATGGAGATGTTCGAGATCAGGTAACTCCTTATCTTTTTCTCACCCCTCTCTTCCCATGCAGATAAATATATTTTATTCTTGTACGCTCTCGGAGCCAAATTACTAAAAATACTTGACATAGATTCTGGTTACTATTACACCTATTAACCAATGATTATTGGCAACTTGATTATCTTCTCTCATGTGAGCTTTTTGAAAGCCATCAATCACACAACTTGACTCTGATTTAAACATGCACGCACGCACGCACACACTCACACACACACACAAAAGATATGATAATTAACACATGTTGCTACTTTTGTTTATGTTTCTATGTCTGTAAGTCTAGCAAAGTTTGGATTACTTTAAAAAATTATGCAAAAATAGGTTACATTTTATTTTCAGTAAACAAATAAAGCTGCTTGTAATTCACACAAATATTTTGACTAAAACCGAAAACTTCTTGTGCTTATTTGACGGAGGCATTCAGAAAGTAACTCGAATCGTGAAAATATGACTTGCCATCTTCTAAATATTATGGATAAACATTTTGTCGGGTGTTTTGCAACCCCAAAACAAAACAAAAATACAAACGGAGGGTTAACAATGTGCTTTCTCAAGAGACTGTGACACCATACATCACAACCAAATGGGATATACCCTTATAATGTTGTGAAAAAGGGATGATAATAACATTGTATCAGGAAAGAGCACAGAACCATTTCATTAAAGTTGGTCTCATTAGTGTCAACATCAGGGTAAATCTTGGACCAAGCCTGTAAATCTGTTTTCAAGAACCAGTTTAGGGGGAAAAATAAAATAAACAATATTTCAGTATCTAGGATTGTCAACATAATTTGTCGACATATGCTATCAGTTAAAAAAAAGAAAACCAAAAAAACACAAGCCATTTCAGATTGGATAATCTCTTAGGAATTAATGGATTTTATTTTTAATCCAACATTATTTCTTATTAATCTGAATGTTGTTTTTGTGGCTACACCTGTTTTTTTTATTTTAAACAGTGTGAATTATATCTACCAGCCTGTGTATTTGAGAGACTTTCAGGGTTTGAACATGAATCCCACTTTTTATTAAGTCTCTCGGTGGATGCAATCTTAACATTATAAGATATGCAAATGGCACTGTGTTGATGGCAGACAGAAGGAAACGATCTCCAAGACAATGTAGTAAAAGAAAATGAGAAGAAATGACTATCAGTTGTAAGAAGAGAGAATGTCTGGTTGTCAGCAAAGATGAACAGCCCAAGATGTGAGCTATGAATTAGAGATGTATTGTAACTTTTATTTTTAATCAAATGAAAAAATGTTTAAATCAGCATTCTGAACTGATTGGCCCTAACAATGTAGCCTTTTAGCTGTTATAACTGGGGAATGGTAGAAGATTGAACAGAATATATGAAGTGCTTGCAGGAATGTTTTCCTTTGTGTGTCGGTGATATAATTAATCTTTGTATCACATCCATAAAATTTGTTGCCATCTTTTTTTCACATGTGCTTGTATTTAATGGCAGCAATAAAAACAGGTATCCAGTATGGATAACCTAATAGTCTCTGGCAAACACAGGCAAAAGTTCATAAAAAAAACATATTTCATCAAGGTTTTTCTGAATACAATTCTTAATGCTTGATTGTGTTTTGTTGTTGCGATTGCATGAAGGTTGTAACCCATGAGTGCCTCTGCATGGGATAAATTATTTTTTATCACTTTGAAGTACATTGTCACGAGGAATGTTAGTACCTTTTTAACATAGTCAACTTGGTCTCTGACTGATACATGTGACACATTTCTGGCTGTTTGGAATATATCTCCTCAACCGCAAAATAACTAACGTCATTGGTAGGGCCTGCAAAATCCACATGTATTCATCAGCAAAGGCATACTGGATATGGCAAATGAGAATTATCAAGTTGTGACGGATTTTTTTGTACGTTCACATTGAAACATTGGTTCCCGTATGATTATGAAAGTTAAGCAATGTCGAGCCTGGTCTGTACCTAGATGGGTAACTGCTAGTAAATACTTGGTGCTGTAAGCTTGGATGTGCTTGTGGTATAATGGATAATGGCTCAGAATTGTTAATCAGAGAGCCAAGTTCCAATTTCTGTTGGGTTCGTTATATTTATTTATGTGCAAATACCCTTAAGAAAGGTATGGATCCACCTCTTCTCTCCCCAGCTATGGATTAATTAGACTTGAATTACTAAATCGTCATCTCAAAAAAAGAAAAATTCTTACAATCTAGAAATATTTTCTGCCTTTAAATAAGTTTCAAAGGGTTGATAAGCTGTGAAAAATGAATCAATCAATCAATTAGCCAGGTATTTTGAAAGTAATGGTTTGTGATCTGTCAGTAGAATGACGTGTCATCGATATAACATTTTAAGAAATTTTTTTTTATGTCAGAAATTCGTGTGAGGGCCTGTTTTTCCATGTGACTATAATTATATTTTGATGGAGTCAGTTCCATATGTGTGCAATAATGGCTTTTCTGTACCATTAGCAAAATAACATAACCTACTTGGTACTTGGAGGCATCTGCTACTACAATTATTTCCTTGGTCAGATCAAAGTGTGAGGAGTAAATCAGAACTGAACAAGGTTTTTTTTTTTTTTTTTATTAAAGATTGCTGACAGATATCTGCCAGGACCATTTCGTATCTTTTGCTAACAGTCTATTGGGGGAGGGTATTTTTGTTTCGTAGAATGATGGAAGGAATGTTTCAAAATGATTAACCAAAGCATGAAGATGGTGATGGCATGTGTTGAATAGTTGCAATATTCTATGGATTTTGTTGACATTCTTCTTGGTCCAGTATGAATTTGAGATATTTTATTGAACTCAAGAAAAAATGGCATTTTTTAAGTCAAAGATGGAAACTGAATTCTGTGATAATAGTCAAAATGTTGGTAATCTGTTTAGGCAACTTGTTTTATTGATAATTATCTAAGTAATCAATAGCACTGTCCCTGTCAGTTAACATAGTGTCAATGATCTTATACTTTACCCTGGAGTAATATGAATAAAAGACTTACAATAATTTTATTGAAGAAGCAGATTTAAGCTAGAGTTTTTCCTTTACTCATTTAAATAAGAAGAAAAACAGGGAAATGATATTTAAAAAAAAAAAAAAAAAAATGGTGTCTGCAGGATTTGAAACCTAAAAACTATGCACTCAAATATAATAGATTATTTTATCTGGGGTTCTGGGGTTTATGATTCTAATTCTATCAATTCTGTGGCTCCAAACTCATCCAATTTGACTTTTGGTCTAGTTTACTCGCAAAGTGGATGTGTGAGTGGTGTAATTGATAGCAGCTTGGAATGAGGAATCTGAGAGCCAAGTTCAAATTCCTGTCGAGTCTGTTATATTCACTTATGTGGAAATACCCTTGGGAAAGGTATGAATCCTTCTTCTCACTCCAGCTATGGGTTAAATAAAAAGCTTGCGTCTGGAAAAAATTATTATTTTATAAAAAAATTGTTAATGTAATATTTACATATATACACATACACACAAATTATTTTTACAATCCGAAATGTTTTGGCTTAAAGGGTTGATAAGCCATGAAAAATCAAATCAGTCTTTTAGAAAGCAGCCATTTTTAAGTCTATAAGTGTAGAAACTTAAAACTTATCTATAATTTTGTTCCTTTCAAATCCCCTTTGATCAATTTGTTTTTTCTTTTTTCAGATTCTGTCAGCTCAATTAGACACAATGGTTGTACTGACCACACTTTGTCAAGGGACACATGACATACCTAAAGGTAAATGTCTTTTACTTATCTCTGAATGTTTCTTCTAGAATGGCACTTAGAACTGGTGATTAAAGTGGGACTAACTGTTCTTTTTGGTAAAAACCTTTTAAAAAATTATTTTAAAGTGTGACCCCCCCCCCGCTGGTGTTGCCACTCCAAACGTGATGTCCGCCTGTCTGAGTCAGTCGTGCTATCCCGTCTTGTGACGACCAACTGGCTTGGTATTGGTCGCGGCACCAAATGTGACGTTCTAACCTTTTGGTGATTCGGATGGGAATCTGGTTAGATTCGGTATCAGCCTCGTCGTTCCCAGCTCGCTTCCAATGTCTGGTTACTGAAGTCTGCTTTGATTTCTAGTCTAACCTACCCACGTTGTGAATTGATCTAGGCAGACGAAATCAATCAGTCGCTGGGCCGTACTGCAAGCTGAGTTCGAATAAGGGTGATATCGCACAACTATGTGTAAAAGAAAATAAAATAATAACTCGAAAAGTTCAAATGTGTTAAAAAGGATAACAATATTTTATATCTGGTTGCTGAATATAGGACTACATCTTTCTCCCAAACCGCTATATGGATTCATGACACGTTGTTTTTGTTAGGCGAGTCTTAACATCTTAAGTCGCCAGTTCTTTAAGAAATTGGTTCTTGGTGTGTCTTCAGGCGATATTCATAAAACTCGTTCTGGTGGTATGAGTCTAAGTCGTTCTTCAAAAATAAATTGTTCTTGGATTGAAGATGAGTTCGGAATTGCGTGAATCTTAGTCAGCTAATGCGTGGTGGGTCTTCAGAGCTCTCAGCTTAAACTCAAACTCACTGGAACTGGAAACTCTGGAAAAACTGGAAACTGATTTTCGCTCGCTGCAATTTTGCTTATATGGACGCCGACCCAAACCGAGGTGGGCTCGTCGGGGTTTGAGGTTCCTTGATAATTCTAAATCTACAGTCCACTTCTTTTGTTTTCAGTCAGGAATTTTCCACTTCTTTCCATTTTTGGAAGTCTTCTCCTACTCCCACCTTCTTCTGTTCTCATATGGGTATCTCACCATACCCTCAGAGGGCGTCAAAGGTTTTCCCTCTCTCTCGCAGTGACATCTCATACCTATCCCTTCAATGGGTGGTCGCAGGCCTCCCCCCCTGCATCACATGATCACCTCCGCCTGGCTCTTGTTAACATTTAGCCAATGGGCCTTGTTTTCAAAAAAAATCTTGCTCGAAGAAAAAAAAATTATCTTTTCTTTTCCTTTTTCCTTCTTTCTTTCTCTTTTCTTTCGTAGTGTGGTCCCTTAATTGCAGCTCTTATCCTCAATGTCACCTGGTACCTATCAATGAGATTTTCGCCAATTATCAAGTGGGTGGTCATCTAGCGAAACACATCCAACTTTTCGTCCTGATAAGGTAGTTTCACTATCCTAGCCGTATTTGCGTTCTTGGTGCCGATTTCTGATAAAATAGTTTTGCTGTCATAGTCAAATTCCAACACAACCCAGATGCCTTGTCCAAATGATATATACATCGATAAAGACTTAACCTATGGTTTGGTCCTTTGTTTTTGCAACTCGTGTGTGGTCAACGGACATTCTTGTTTCTCGGTGAGCGGATGACCTATTTAATTTTTATCTATTTATAATTCTGTGGAAGCCCCAAATGGCATTCCCATGACACAGTTAAATGTTTATCTATTCAGAATCCTGTTTCTGAGGCCAGCTAGCCAATCTGGAATTTGTCAATTAGCTTTTCGCCGTCACTAAGCGGTTGGCCCGTTAGACGCTTTCACATCCTGTCGTTATCTATTCCCGATAATATAAGTTCGCCACCATGACACAGTTAATTTTTATCTATTTAGAATTCTTGACAATGGCAATGAAAATTTTCACCATTTTTCTTTTATCATCTAAATTTAACTCTCGCCTTTTTTTTTTTTTTCTTTCCTTTTTCTTTTCTCCTTCTAGCAGCCCTAAATGGTGTCACAAAGAAAAGGAAATAATTCTAATTTACTTTGAATAGTTCTTGTTTATGTTTATTTATAAACAAGGTAATTGGTTGTTCTGTGACTAATTAAACTAATAGAGGTGAGTTTTAGTAATTGCAAACTCTTTTTTTTCCCCCTCTTTTATTTAATATACTTAAATAATAATGAGCTTGTTACTAAAATATGAACAAACCTGAACTGATTTATTTCCCTTGGACATTATTCAGAAGATTATTTTTGCTTCATCATATAAGCAATTATAATGTACACTAGAATTAGTGAATGAAATCTGCCATGTATGTTAGAACATATAGCATATATCTTGCTTTCACATGAAGAACAAAAGTTTATGGAGAGAAAATTGGTAATGAAGATTGGTACAGGGATGATTGGATTCATGCCTTTTCCAAGGAGAATTTAAATTAAGTTTTTTACATGTACCAAAGGTCTTTTGACAATATGAAGTGGGATCATTAGTTTGTAGCCCAGTCCAGTTATCAGCTGAATTCTGATATGAAATTTTCATTGTATAATGTTCCCTACTTGTTATTTGTATGGGCTTTTGAAAAATAAGATTTTTTTTTTTTAATTATTTTCTTTTTATACTAAAGTTCATCCAATACAAGGCTCAATAGCCACTCAAGGTAGAGGGTTACTGTGTGGTGTTGTATGTGCATAAGAGAAGACAAGAAGTTCATGAGTTTATCTAGGAAAGATAATGGCTAACCCTAGATTTAAGATTGTACTGACTGGAAAGCATCCTCTTGGGAGTCTGTTCCACAAAGCAGCATTCCTTGGGAAGAAACTGTCTCACTGGAACTTTCTTTTTTTTACCATGAGGCTATGGATTTTATTTAACTATGTAGTTTGTTTTCGTTTTTCTTTCTTTTTTTCAATGGGCTTAGTCTGATAAATTTTTGGGGGTCTTTTTCTACTTGATTATTCTAATCCCCAGGGCTCCCCACTCCTTTTTAATTGATTTATTTGTCAGTTCTTGTGACTTTTATTTCTTCTTCAAATTTTTACTTATTGGTAATTTTGACCTCAAATCTTGGTTAATTAGCAGCCAGCAACACCAATCTCACTTCTACCATCTACCCTGGTATGACAACAATTCTAACAAAATCCATCCCATTTCAACACTTGGCCTATCCCGATTTGACTCTTACTTGGCTTGTCTATTTCCCACACCCTTGACAAATATATCATTCAGAAAAGTTGAATGAAAATCATTTTATGAGTGTGATTTTTTTTTTTTTAATGTTCTATTTGTCCTGCTAAATTATGCCTACATGTAACAGGAAATGAATAGACACAGCCTCCATTTATATAATCAATAGATTCTTTCTGGTTGAGCAATTTCGTAACGATTAATAAATTAATATTCTGAATCTGTTTTGATAGATACAATATTAAATTAGATTATTTTCAATTTCTTTTGCATTTTACAGTTTAAAAAAAACTTCTTGGCCTATTTCAAATTGTCTAAGCCAGTTCTTCTGTGTTGATTTTATTTGAAACTGAAATTTTTGACCTCTGATATAATTGATATAGACCTCTGACCTCTCTGCTCTTTCTTTCTCTACACTTTGAGGTAGTTGACAAAGAGACCAAAATAACCTGGTGAGTGGAAATGCAGACATGTGACTTCTCTACTGTGCTTCTCTGTTGTAGTAAGATGGCTAGGATCAAGTGTATGTCCTAATGTCTGCTGCAAAAATGAAAGGATCTTTGAATTTTGAGATAATTGCATAAAATCACTGCATTTTGCATAACTAGGCATACATAAATACTGTCTTCCTTGTGCTCTTTTGGTATATATATATATATATATATATATATATATACACACACACACACACACTGAACAGTATAGTAAGGTTAGTTGGGCACTGCCTGTGAGAAAATGAGCACTGTGACACAATTCTCTCCACCAGAAATTTGGAAACGGTATGCTGTACTGCTTGTCATTCACACCAGAAGCTCCAATACGAACATTTCACAGTGTTTGGGTGCAGAGGATTCGGAAAGAATTGGATGAGTCTAATGGTGATTACAAAGGTAAGGCAGCTTGGAAAACTCACTCTAATCATTCTGATAAGAAAAGAACTCCTGAATTCGTTGGTGAAGGCCTCAGACTCAACACGGAGCCCTACATTAAATGCCTTGAGGAGGTAGTCCTACCCTGGGTCAAGAGGGTGGCTGCTGGAAGACCCTATGTCTGGCTACAGGACTCTGCACCATGCTACACAAGCAGGAGAACCCAGTCATGGCTGTCAGAATTTCTGTGATCACACATCACCCCTTACATCTGGCCACCTAACTCTCCAGACTGCAACCCCCTTGAATATTATTATGTATGGGGTACAGTTGAGCAAGAGACCAAGAAAACTCTTTGTAACACCAAAGATGAACTAAAGGCAAAGATTGTGGCAGCATTTACCAACTTAAACAAGGAGACTGTCCAGAAGAGTTGCAGGAGATTCTAAAATCGTCTGGAGGCCATGGTTGAAGCCAATGGCAATTTTATTGAATAAAATTACTCCATAGTATTTCAAGGTATTTTTGTGTAATTTTGGTAAATATATCTGTTAAAATGAGATGTCAGTGTTATTTTCATTCTTGCATTATTTAGATGACAATTTATCCATCACACTCTGTATACACATACACAAATATGTATACACACACATAGACACACAAACACACACACTTTTTATAATCTATTTTTTTTATTTAATCCATTTTTAACAATATGGACTGCATCCTTATCTTAACAGCTAGTAAATAGTAATATAAAAATTTTCTAACAGTCAATTTTTAATTTGTGCATGATGATTGGTACATGCATGACACAGTATGTGTGCATATATATATATATATATATATATATATATATGTGCACACACACTGTCATGCATGTACCAATTTTTATATTACTATTTATAAGCTGTTAAGATAAGGATGCAGTTCATATTGTTAAAAATGGATTAAATACAAAAAAATAGATTATAAAAAGATACTTATATATGGTCAGTTATGTACTACCAAACAGCAAATGTGCATGTATACACATATGAAAAATATACTTGCAATGATGTTCACCCTGTACAAGGCTCAAGAGCCACTCAAGGTAGAGGGTTAGAAAGAGTTACTGCCCCAATCAAGGTGATAATACCACCAAGACACAAGGATGCAACTGGAATTTAAAGAGAAGGAAAAGATTCTAGAGGGAACCAGAAACCAAATCTAAAACAGGGAACAAAGGATAATCCTCTACTCCTGTTCAAAAGACTGGGGAGGAGTGTGAACTGGATGATAGGCAAACCTATCCACTCCTATTAGAAACAATTGCTTATATATAATTTCCAATATATCCTATAAATATTTTTTTAATACTATCTATACACATTTTATATATATTTTCACATATACACACAAGTTTAATTCACATATCTATATATATATATATATATATATAACTTTTTTTTATTTGTAACTCTTGAATATTGAGAGCTGCTTTTTTAAAGCTCTCATGAAATAAAAATTATTACCTATGGGATTTTAAGTGTATAATATTCTTTAATTAATAGTAATTTTGCCCTGTCTTTGGACATAAAGATGTCCCTAGAACTATATCCTCCTGGAAATTCCATACATATTACTATATATATATATAAGAGAGAGATAAGGCAAAAATTCAGTTAAGTTTTAGGAAATTCAAACTACAATATCAGTTTAATTATTATATTTTCCCAAATTAGGAATAAGTTGTTGCACATTTGGTTAAAATTTAGGAAGAGGTTGTTAAAACTTTACCCATCTCTTGTATTTATCTGGCATGTTAATGTAGTCAGTGTCTTTGAATAATGTTTTCCTGTCTTCATTCTGACATTTTAAAAGAATGCAATCTCTCAAAAGTAAATATATCTGTATTGTAAGGAATAAGATTCATTGAACGGTTTCTCAGCACATGCCAGTATGATGAATCCCTCGGCCATGATGACTTGTGACTTTGTGCTAGCACAACCATCAAGGGCTTTCAAAATTGTTCCACCTAACCAATTTTACTCATTCGGCTTGGGGGGTCAACCCATGGGGTATAGTTGACAAGTAATTTGCAATGGTGTTGAATGCTGGGATCACTTCCCAAGGCCAATAACATTAATTGAATAAATGTATTGAATCTCTAGTATAATTTTGTGAAGTAGGGACAAGTCAGCTATTATATTTGGGACACACTGCGTATGTATGTATATATATACACACACACACACACACACACATATATATATATAAAAAAAATGTGTGTATGTGTATATGCTGATTCCTTATTATAAGACAGTATGTATATATTGGAAGGGAATTTACATATGCAGGTTAACAGGTTTCGGAAGACATCTCTCATCAACTTATCTGTTATCACCAGCTCTCATACCAAACCTAATGGTTTTATTAACACTTAAGTAGAAATTCACTTTTGGCAACAGTCCAAAAAGGAGTTCAAGGTTCATTAACAAATACAGAAAATGAACAATGAGAGCATAAGGAAAAATTATTCCTTTTAAAAATTTATTCCTTTTATTTGCCTGAAGGTCACGAGACTGGAAACATGTGTATCAGAAATATTAAGAAAAAACACAATATATATACTAAAACAAATCCACATTATAACCAAAAATGTTTGTGGTTTATCTTTTTTTTTTTTTTTTTTTTTTTTTTAAATATATATTTTTTCCCTTGTTGGAACAACTATAACATTTTTCATGCATATATATATATATATATATATATATATATATATATATATATATATATATATATATAATATAATAAAAAAAAAAATCCCTTTATCTCATATAGGTAATAGTCTATTTCGGCAGATGGCAAAAACAGTCATCTGTCTTTTCAACCCCGGTGTGGAGTGAAGTTCATGAAGAAGTGGAACGTATTCAGGGGTTAGCTGTGTGGTATTGGAAGCTAAACCATAACTTGCCAGTAACCCTTTTCACTGTTTCAGTTGGATGCTAGGCAGGGGTTAAGGAGGGTGCTAGGTGTTTATCTTAAGGCAGTGAGGTTTTAGGTTTTATTAGGGAAAGCCCAGAACATTAAGCTTGTGACAACAAGTGGGGGTATTAGAAGAAACACAAGTTTTTAACCTAAATTTAAAGTAGAAATTAATAAAACAACACACACACACACACACACATACATACATACATACATATATATATATATATATATATATATATATATATATAAAATAATAAAAGGAGGTCTGATGAATTGGATGCATTTTTATGATTCCAATGGAATAAATTATAACCATGGAATATTAGTGTTTAAGCCTTTTTTATTATATCCTTACTCTGTCCTGGACATTGAGTTCTACCTGGATTCTATCCTCTTGGAATTTTTATTCAAAAAAAAATATACATGTATGTGTATGCACTTATGTGTGTATGTATGTATATATATATATATATATATATATATATATATATATATATATATATATATATATATATACTGATGTATATGTATATTTATAATATATATATATATTAATTGGTGTTATGAGATTAATAACTGGTTTTATTCTAATAAAACCACTTCCCTTTAAGACAGATAATTTCCACCCTCCTCTGACCTGTGTCTTTCGTCTGACTGAAACATTAAAATGACTAAATTCTGTATTAGATATTTTTGGTAAGTTGTATTTATTAGCTTTTACACTTAAATTCTACTTCCTGTCTTATCTAACTTTATAGACATGATCTCAATCCACACTGGGGTGGATAAGACAGATGACTGATATCTTTGTCTGCCGAAATAGGCTATTCCCCATATGAGGTAATTTTAGGTTTATTTGCTTATTAATTATAAATAATCTTAAACCTTGATTCTGAGTGACTGGATTGCTGGTGGGTAACACTTGGTATTATTTTTGTCATTTTTTTTTTTTTTTGTTACAGAAACTTTGTGCACTTCCATTGTTCCAACTTTGATTGGAATGGCACGGGCTATTGGCCGTTCCTCTGATGACAAGACACCACTTATCAATCTGCTGTTTCCTCTACCAAGCCAGTGTTTAGCTACAGTCGAATCCCCTGAAGATACAAATTCCCCACCTAAGCGGCCATTTACCAAATTTCGCTCCATCTTTCCTCGGACGCTGTCCTCACATGTAATAACCCCAGAAAGCCCCACCAGTCCTACCCCAGGAACAACAGAGAATCCAGCTGACTTCCGTCGAGAACGGTCACCTTCTCCTATGGCACCGACTCAGCAGAAGATTGGCTCTGCAGATGATATGCTTGATCCTACAGTTCGCTATTTCAACAAAGTTGGCTCCAGCTTTACCAGAACGAAACCCTGGGGTTTTGAAATTATTCCAGAGGAAGATCACCTGAAATTTTCCAGTTCACAGCTTCAAACACTCGTCAGTGTGGTAAGACTCATTTTATTCACTTTTTGGGGCAATATTTTGGCCTATGTTGAAATGTGTCACTGAAACTTGCAATTACAAAAAATCCCACCCAATTAAGGCCGTCAGTCTTGCACCAGCCTTTTGCAGTAATGACAAACAAGTTATTAAAATGAAACAAACCAAATTTTGAATGTTTCAATCCAGCAATTTTAATAAATAGTTAGTACGCAGCAGAAAGAGTGAAAGTGTGGAGTAATTGGCAAAAAAAAAATTTTATCGCACTTCTCGCTTGTGGAATTCTTTTTCTGCTTCTTGCTCCCCACACAACTTTTCAAAAATTTAAATGCATTGTCAGTCGTCATCTTCTGTCTTAATTCTTTTTCTTTTATTGTCCTCTCTCTTTAATAGTGATTTTTTTTTTTTTTTCTCATATTCTCTAACCCTCAGAATTTTATTCCCGCACAAAAGGGATACAGTCAAGTGATTGTAATGTTCTGACTTCAAGACAAGAAAGAACAAAAATACGATGGATGAGACAGAATTGTTTAATTTTTTTCTTGTCAGGAAGAAATCCCAGCATGCATCTGCAGGATTTGTCTATAAATTTGGGGAAGGAATGTTCTTGGCAGTGATTCCTACATTAATTGGAACCAACATAAAAGCTTAAGTTCAGGGTATTGCAAGGGTTAAAATGGGAACTAAAATTTACCCAATTGTGAGTCTATGAATTCTTCACCTGTTTCTGTGGCAGCTCATGCACATTTCAACATGGGCAACTTTTAAAATTATCTAGCATTGCCTGCTTTCAAAATGTATGTAAAAATCACCATATTGTTAATTGAGTTGGGTTAATTCAATTGATAAAATTTAAGGTTCATCAGTTTAGCATTTAACAATCCTGAAAACACTTATAAGAAATGACAGTCTTTCTACCTCCTCACTCTCTCCTCCTTGCTCTCTCACTTATCTCCTCCTCGCTCTCTCTCACTTATCTCCTCCTCGCTCTCTCTCACTTATCTCCTCCTCGCTCTCTCTCACTTATCTCCTCCTCGCTCTCTCCTTATCTCCTTATCTCTCCTCTCCTCTCTCACTTATCTCCTCCTCCTCTCTCTCCGCTCTCTCCCTTATCTCCTCTCTCTCTCTCTCTCCTCGCTCTCTCCTCCTCTCGCTCTCTCTCACTTATCTCCTCCTCGCTCTCTCTCTCCTTATCTCCTCCTCCCTCCTCGCTCTCTCTCCTTATCTCCTCTCACTCTCTCATCTCCTCCTCGCTCTCTCTCACTTATCTCCTCCTCGCTCTCTCTCACTTATCTCCTCCTCGCTCTCTCTCACTTATCTCCTCCTCGCTCTCTCTCACTTATCTCCTCCTCGCTCTCTCTCACTTATCTCCTCCTCGCTCTCTCTCACTTATCTTATCTCCTCCCTCTCCTCTCTCCTCTATCTCCTCCTCGCTCTCTCTCACTTATCTCCTCCTCGCTCTCTTCCCCAATGTATTATGCTGCTCCTTTTCCAGCTTTGCAGATTTGTTAACAGCAGTTATTATTTCATGTACATCAAATGCCTTTAAAGATTTGTAATTATTTCAACAATTCATAAATTCAGAATGATGCCATTTGCCATCAGGACAGAATATTCATAATTACTATAATTGCCATCGTCCACAATTGACCTGATTTGGGCTTAAAAAAAATAAGCCAAGCCAATAAAACTAGTTTTTCTTCTGTTTCCCTTGCATATAACCAATCGATCTTCTTCAGATTATCCAATTTGAAACGAAACATGTTTACTTTTCAGTAAACCAAACATGATAATTTCTAACTTTTTAGCAATATTCCTCGGCCTAAACAATTTTTTTTTTTTATAGAGCTAAAATTACACCCTTTCTGCATTAAGGATAAATTGATGTTTATTTTATCAACCATCTGAGTGCATTGTTTCACAAGGAATAAATAAAACTTTTGAAATATTCATTTTATTTTAATAATTTGTGACATTAATTTAAAAAGATTTGAAAAAAAAAAGATTTAGTCCACTCCTTATTGCATAAATGAAAATGATACAGACAACTTTGAAGTATCCTTAACAGAAAATGATATTTATTAGTAAATGCAAAGAAGAATTGAATTCCTACAATTGGGAAAGGAATGATTGATATTTCAAATTGTTGATTCCAATTTTGATAGGAAATAACTGCAAAATACTTTTCCCTCCCCAATTTATAGGCAGAAGCTCACAAATGCATACTGGGATTTGTTCCTAGCCAATAAAACAGGTTGGTTCTTGGTTTCATATGACTGAGTACCAGTCTGTCTCATCTTGAAGACAATGCTATGTTCACTTATCCAAACTTGCTCTTGTGTGTCAACCTCAATTCTTAGTTTGTGAACCTTTTGCCTTATTACCATTGCCTTGCCTTGCCTTGCATATATTGTTTGCTTGCTTCATATTATTTTTGCCCTGTTCTTTTCCTTCTTATTGCTAACTTTGTCAATTCTGTTTGTTGGGTTGTTCTGCCATTTATTTTACATTTAACCATGGCCACTCATTTTACAGTTTCATAAATGCTCCAGTAAAAAAAAAAAAAAGAAAGAAAAAGTCTCCTCAGAATAAAAGATACAATTTCATAATTGGTGAAATTTAAATTTATAAGAAATTTGAAATGCAAAAAATACATGTTGCATTGATAAGAAAAAAGTAACATTAATGGAAGAAATATGGAATCATGTGGACAAACTTCAGTTGAGTGAAATAAAGTTTAACAGGACAATTCTCCGAGAAGAGGATCGACGTCTTCCTTGATATCTCTGATTTGTTATGGCTGCTAATTGTCTTAATCAAATGATGGTCCAAAATTTTTACCTTTTAATCTATGGTGTTTCAAACTTTGTTACTTGCAACTCCTTTTTAGTAAGAAAATTTATTTTGTAGCTCCTTACTAATTGTTATGAAACTAATAATACTAACAGTTCCATTATGTGACTTTTTAGTCATGATCTCATGAAAACTGAACTTAAAATCATTAGCGTTCATTAAAATTACATTAGAAAAATAAATAACTCTAACAACAGGAAACAAAATTTGAAAAAAGGTTTGATATTTTTTTATTAAGACAGGTGGGAAGGGGCCAAATTTTGCCAACTGAGCAAGTTGAACATTTAGTAGTACTTTTGTGAACATTACTTGTGTGACCCAAAAAGGTTGGAAACAATTGTTATATACCTATTTCTCAAAACATATTTCCAAATTGGAATTTTTTTTTTTTTTTTGTGTAAAGAGATTTTGGTTTAATTTTTGAGTTATCAATCTGTATTTATCTAGGAATTGGTAAATGGACAATTTGACTTTACTGACCAACTTAAATTTTAACAGTTGGATAAAATTGGATGAAAAATGACAACTCTGGGTGGAGTAAAAGTCATGAAACAATCTAATATTATTCTGTGGTATGTAAAAATATGGAATAAAATCCCAACTCTGGTTTCTGGGTATGATCAAAAGTCTGCATTTATTTTTAATTTGGGACAGAATCCACTGATTTTAAGTAAAATAGTTAATAGTTTTTAATGCTTTAAATTATTTAATTAATATAAATTTAAAAAAAAAATTTGATTAAATATAAAATGTTTGATTATGTGAATTTTGTTTGTGTCATCTTGACTGATAATTAATCAGAGTAGTTAGTTATCTCTTTTGCGAACGTACCAAGGAAACTTATTTATTAATATAAGTAACCTTTTAATTCATTCTATTTATAGTAAAAAAATAATTTTAAAAAAGAAATAATATTTTAATGAAGTAAATATAATTGAAATCATAATTTATTTCATTGTTATTTGTCATTCATGAAATATCACTTCCTTTATATAAATCTATATAATATAAATAAATGTGAATGTCAGTGTGTCACACTTTTTCAACTTTACTTCTAGAGAATGTAGCCCAACATATCATACCATTTTGGAATCAGGCCGACTCTGAGTAGATTAAAAATATTCCAGGCTGGGTTTGGACCCCCCACAATCCTGAAATTTTGGATTCATAAGTTTTCATTACTGTGGTTTTTTATGTGATTTTTTTTTTCTGACAAACTGTTTTATATGGTAACAAGTTTTAGAACTTGGAAATAAATTTGGGCATAATCAAAATCACTCATGAAATAAAAATAACTGTTTATACGGAGAGTAATGTTCATCAAATTATCTTTAAATTAAGTTGCAGCAGAAGAATTATCATTGAACTTTTAAAAGCTGTACATTACTTTCCATACAAACAAGTATTGCATTAATATTAAAGCTTAAATATTAATGCAATACTTAAATGCAGCAATCAATTTTGAGTTCTTCTGTAGTTTATTGTTGCCTATCGCATCTACTCCTCCCTATCTATTATGATGAAGGCCCAATGAAGAGCCCTCCACAGGAGCTAGCTTAGATGCTGCCTAATAGGGCCTCTTTTAAGCTTATATAGATGTGTTTGTATGTTTCTAGTGTAACTTAAAGTTTCATGGTTTCATGATTCATCAGGCACATATGGTGATTCAACTGCTTATTTACTTTTAGTATTATTCTTCCTAATATATATATATATATATAAGAATAATACTAAAAATATTCCACAGTTCTTATTTCCACAAAAATTGTCACTGATTGACTAAAGAGAAAGCTAAAAATGGGAAACAGTTGTTTGATAAGGTTTACTGTTTAGGCTTAATGCAACAAGATGCTAAAGACCTTGTATAAAGTTTTATTGGTACATGAAAGTTACAAATGGTGACTTTTGGCAGAGAAATCATTAAACTAACAGATTAAGTAGAAATTAAAGTGTGGATGAATGGGAAGTTGAAATAAAATAAGACCCTTTCAAAAATATTCATTTGAACCATAAAATATGGATTAAAGAGTGCACCAGAATGGCTTGAGGTTGAGACATTGAGTTTACATTGCTAGAAGTCTACTTAATAGTCCGGGCGGAAATTTGTTAATAGGATTCTTATGTTATTAGAACGACAAAGGAAAGCTTGTTTACTAGAGTTTCATTGAGATCTGAATTGAATTTGCCTGAGTTTAGCATCAACAATTTTTGTTTATATAACATGGTTTTGATTATAAACAGTGAATTTATTTTAGTCAACATTGAAATTATGTAGTTGAAACAAATTTATATTCCTTGAAAAATAGTTATTCTGAGATGTTTTTATTCTTAGTTCGGACCAAAATTTGTCGGTTCTCATCACAAATTATGATGAATCACAAATATTCTGTTGTGCTGAGACATTGCTTGTTATGTTGAAATCAACTAGAGAGTTTGGTTATCTTTGGTCAAGTCAACCAATTTCCCAAACCTCTATTGCTTAATTTCTGTTTGTATATTTGCAGGCAAAACGATTGCTCAGTAAAGATATTTTGAAAAACTTGGACAATATGGCATATGAAGTTTACACGGTAAGGTTCTTTTAATATTTTTTTATCTCAACTTTTCTGTATGAATCTTTTACTTTCTCACAAAATCATTTTCTATTGATAGATTTATTAAGAGTTTGTACATCCTGTTTGGTGTATTGCAGGAATAATCAGTTTAGGAAATTATTAGAGGATACAAATCTTGCTACACTTTCCCTAAGATACATTGACTTTACTGTTAAAAATTATCTTACTTTCCATAGATCTAGCAATGTTTCTAAGTCATCTAAAGACAAGAAATAATGCCTAATAGCAACCATGTCCAAATCAGCATTTTCCTTAATGATTTGTTTTCTTCTTAATATGTATTTCTGGCTTAACATTCTTAAAAAAAAAAAAAAAAAAAAAAAACTATTTTTTTTTCTTTTCAGACTGGAAATTTACAGCGGTTTCCCTACAAATCCTTCAGTGAAACTGTTACACTTGTTGTGGTGACTCTGCTTCGAGATGTTCTGGAGCAGGAAAAAGGTATTTCCTTTACTTTCTCTTTTATTTTCACTTTTGGACTTTTCAGTTTGATTAAATCTCTAAGAATGAAAAGAGTAAGTTTACGAGAAAAATTGCCTAAGATTTTGACAGTAAAAAAAAAAATTGAAATTTATGAACAGTTTTTCATGAAAATTCACATTTTTAAAAAGACGAAACAAATTAAGAGGAAAACTTGGAATATGTCAAAGTAAATTGGCAAACTCTCAAGAAAGAGGAGTGGGAGATACTAATACGAAATAAAAAAATATTATTTAATAAAATAATAATCTCAAAAGGTTAGATGTTGTGGAGTAAAGAGTACACCCCTGGTGACTCTATGAACTTGTACAATATTGTAAAGAGTTTCAAGTTATGAGGTTAGTAGTATTCGTATTGGAGTCAGTCTTCATACTAATTATACAGGCATTATGGTAATAGCCTAAGCATTATGTATAGAGACTACTTTAATGAATTACGTTATACCAAGCACAAGTTTATAAAAGTTGGTTACGAGGATACTCAAATTCACAACATTATAACCAGAGTTATAATAGTCGATGATGAGGAACTAGGACTGAAGCTCGGTATAACAAGCACCACATTATAACTGGAGTTATACTAACTAGTGAGTGACCAGATTTTTGAAACTCCTACGCGTGTAACAAAATTTGCTAAAAATAAATTACCTAGGACAAATTATTGATAAAAATGATAGGAAACCACATCTGTCAAGGGCAAATCTAATTAGAAATATGTCTACATCAAGAAATGTAATTACATTAGAAGCTTTTTTTAGGACTGGCTAATTATTATCGAATTTATGTACCTAGTATACATAATTTGACAGCTCTACTTAACAATCTACTGGAAAAAAAAGAGTAAAATAAATTGAGATGATAAATGTCAAAAAAAAAGTGTTTGATAAGATAAAAAAAGTCTTAATCATTAGCACACTATGATCCAAAAAGCAAAAATTTATTTGACAGCATCAAACAATCTACTGGAAAAAAAAAAGTAAAATAGAATTGAGATGATAAATGTCAAAAAAGTGTTTGATAAGATAAAAAAAGTCTTAGGTCTGATTTATCATTAGGCAAAAATTACTCACTAACAATCTACTGGAAAAAAAAAGAGTAAAATAAATTGAGATGATAAATGTCAAAAAAGTGTTTGATAAGATAAAAAAAAAGTCTTAGGTCTGATTTATCATTAGCACACTATGATCCAAAAGCAAAAATTATTGACAGCATCACTTAACAATCTACTGGAAAAAAAAAGTAAAAATAGAATTGAGATGATAAATGTCAAAAAAGTGTTTGATAAGATAAAAAAAAGTCTTAGGTCTGATTTATCATTAGCACACTATGATCCAAAAGCAAAAATTATTTGACAGCATCACTTAACAATCTACTGGAAAAAAAAAAGAGTAAAATAGAATTGAGATGATAAATGTCAAAAAAGTGTTTGATAAGATAAAAAAAAGTCTTAGGTCTGATTTATCATTAGCACACTATGATCCAAAAGCAAAAATTATTTGACAGCATCACTTAACAATCTACTGGAAAAAAAAAAGAAAAATAGAATTGAGATGATAAATGTCAAAAAGTGTTTGATAAGATAAAAAAAGTCTTAGGTCTGATTTATCATTAGCACACTATGATCCAAAAAAGCAAAAAATTATTTGACAGCATCACTTAACAATCTACTGGAAAAAAAAAAAGAGTAAAATAAATTGAGATGATAAATGTCAAAAAAGTGTTTGATAAGATAAAAAAAAAAAGTCTTAGGTCTGATTTATCATTAAATGATCCAAAAGCAAAAATTATTTGACAGCATCAAACAATCTACTGGAAAAAAAAAAAATAAAATAGAATTGAGATGATAAATGTCAAAAAGTGTTTGATAAGATAAAAAAAAAAATGTCTTATGTCTGATTTATCGTTAGCACACTATGATCCAAAAGCAAAAATTATTTGACAGCTCCACTTAACAATCTACTTAAAAAAAAAAAAAGAATAAAATAGAATTGGGATCACAGATGTCAAAAAGTCTTTGATGAAATAAAAAAAATGTCTTATGTTTGATTTATCGCTATTGCACTACGATCCAAAAGCAAAAATTATAGTAGTGTCAGATGCAGGTGATTACAGTGTTGGAGCGGTGATTTTGCACAAATATGATGGTGGTAAAATGAAAGCTTTTGCTTATACTTCACGTTCGCTTCTCCCAGCAGAGAAAAATTACAGCCAGATAGAGTAAGAAGCTCTAGCAATCATAGTTTCTATGAAAAAAGTTCAACATAAGAGAGACCAGAATCAGCTGAAGAAAAAATTCACTGATGGAAAGACCTGAAGAACTTGTAAAAATGCAGTACAACATTTCTGATGTGTCAGCACCAAAACAAATTGGGAAACCTGTAAGGACAAGTTCAAAGAAAAGAAAATGGTATAAAATATGTTGGTGAACTCTCCAGAAAGAGGACAGGAAGATATTAATGCTAAATGAAAAGTATTATTTAATAAAGTAGTAATCTTAAAAGTGGGGATATTGTGGAGTAAAAAGTATGACCCCAGTGACTCTTTGAACTCATCCAATACTCTAAGGAGTTCCACAGTATCAGGTTAGTAGTCGTTTTGGAATCAGGCAGTTTGCTGGCAGGCTCAAAACAGACTTGTCAAACTCTCTGCCTTCATGCAGAGAGGAACCCAGATGAGGCTATGCTTATGGGCAGAGTCTTCTCTGGAGAGGTAGACAGACCTGACTCAGCGGGGTCTAAGGGAAATTTTTGCCTTAGCCTATGGGATTGGAATTGCTCCACATAAAAACTGGCCTTGTGCCACATCCCTCCTTGTAAATACCAGTTGTATTGGAGTCAGTCTTCATACTAACTATATGGGTGTTATGGCAATAGCCTCCTAAGCATTATGTATAGAGAATATTTAATGAAATGCATTTTACCAAGTATGAGTGTGTGTTATAATGATAACCCTATAACAGGAAGTTATAATATCAGGTAAAGAGATTAAAAAATAACTTCATTTTTTTTTTTTTGCTTGCTTCTTATTGGAAAGAATTTCTAAAACCATTTTTATTTTTCATTTTTTCCTTCTACCTGTCTAGATTTGCCGTCATCATTCATGAAGGAAGTGCAAGATTTTGTAAAGTCTCTCTACCTGTCGGGCCAAACAGAGCTGCAGAGCAAGCAACAGCGCAGTCCCGCAGAGGTGCGGCACATGCAGTTTGACCCTTATGAGTTAATGGTCTGCAGCAATGCGGCCTGTGTTGACCTGCTCTTTTGGGCCGTCAGGGATGAATCTGGTAAGCACATTATTGCAAAACCATATTTTCTTTGAGATCTCAAAGGTCAAAGCAGGGTTAAACCTTCATTATTTTAGGAAAATAAAATTCTCAGGATCCTCTTACAGTTGTTTTTGAAGAATGGCTTTATTTTGGGAATCTTTTTAATTGAAAGTCCTTAGAACTTAAGTGCTGCTAGTTTTAAGTTTTCAAGAACTCACAAGTTGCTGAAAATTTCTTGGGGATTTTCGTTCTGATTTTAATGTGAGGTTATTTGGTCATAGCTATCAGGGAAACGGGAAGAGTGGAGGGAGTTCCACCGATGAGAGGTGTGAGACATGAAGCTATTGGAGCAGAAGAGACGGCTACATTTAACAGTTTCGACATTGAAAGGGTACGAGTGAGATGCCAGCCTAGTAGAACGCTTAAATTCATGAAGTTTGGGAATCAGTGAAAGCAGTTCCTCTGAGCAGTTACCATGAAAGTATTTGTAAAAAAGACAGAGAGAGGTGATGGCACGTCTGTGAGAGAGCAACTGCAGACAAGATGCCAGATCAGGGCCAATCATTAATAATCATGCTGGCCATGATAAATCATTTTAGTGCATTTACACACACACACTCACACACACACACATACTCTTTTCCTGTTACAAAGTGGTCACATTGGATTTGTTTGGCCAATTTGAGTAGTAAGGTTCATGTATATTTGATCCATTTATTTGACTCCGTCTGTTCAATAACCCTATCAGGATAAATGGTTAGCAAACCAGTATGAGAGAATGGGGAACCCTAACCCAACTGGTGTTACCTGACAATTATTCTCTTTTGATGGATGAGAAAATTGGTAATTTTTTGCACCTTCACATCAAAGACAGATTTAAAAATGACAAAACAAAATGACAAAGGTCCTATTGGCATGCAGCTAACAACTGCTTCAGTCTCCAATCAAAACTCATTATATTAGGTTTCAGACTCAGTCACCACATAAATACTACTTGCTTATAGATATAAATATATATATATATATATATATATATATATAATATATATATATATATATATATATATATATATATATATATATATATAAAAAATGGTGTTCACCTTGTACGAGGCCCAAGAGCCACTCGAGATAAAAAAGTTACAGAGTAAGAGGGACCACCTAAGCAAGGCAATAATGCCCCCAAGATGCAAAAGACCATTTAAAATGAAAGAGAAGAAAAAGCATTTAGAAGGAATTGGAAACCCAGTGCTAAACAGAAACAAAGGACAAACCTCTACAATTGTTCAAAAGACCAGTGAGGAGTGTGAACTTGCTTGTAAAATCCTGCTATAGATGAGTTTTGTAGTACTACAATGACTCTTCTTTGTCATAATTTATTTACTCAAAATTGGCAAATCTGTTACTTGCTCGTTTCCTTGATTTCTTTTGTCTTTGATGCACCTTGTGAGTGTTAAACTCGCCAAACCTTCTTTTCTTATTGTGTCCCCAATTTTTCATCTCTGTCTTTCTGATTGTTATTACTAGTTTCTATGTACTTCAAATTGCCCTTGGGACTTCTTCATTTATCACATGCTCCATCTTTATCTCTTAACTGCTGTACTGTGTCACATTTGTGTGCCTCAAAACATGTTTCCTTCAATGCATACTACCTGCATTAAAGTATTAATTCCTATTATGGTTACCCATCTGAAAGCGCTCAATGAAAACATCGACTATTATTTTCTTTCTTTGAGCACAAAAAAGTATGATTGGATACAAAATCCCTTTATAAATGTTTCTTCTTAAATTGGGCTTCAGTAATGTGAAAAAGAAGAAGAATTGGCCACCATTTCTGCTGATCGTAGGATCAAAATAAAACATTCAATATTAGCCAATTGATACATTTTGGATTTCAATACAAAAGGCTTTATCAGTTTTATTGCAATTTTCTACTACTAATTTATGTGAATTAGGCTTCTTAACCCTAAATAATATCAAAAATAGGAAGTGATAATGACTATCCACAACTGAAGTAGAAATGATGGTCTGCATATTGCACATTTGACCAAACATTGAAGAAATCATGAAAAACATCAGAGGCACAGGTTTCACACTAAATAAGCTTCACAAATAGTTGAACAGAAACATTGAAATAAAGTAAATTCATATTTGTGTATGTTTTTAAATCTATGGTTTTATTTTATATCATTTAAATGTATGCCCTTTAAAAATTTTGCTAAATGTGCCGTGATATTTTCATTTGCTCTTAGGTGTGCCATTACTTAAAAAGGTTGAGAAACACTCTTATAGGTTTTCTGAATTCATTACTCATTTGCATGAGACAAATGTTTTATGTTCTCTGATAGGGCATGTCAGTTTACTGTACATGGGCCATGTCATGCTGAAACACTAGTTCTTGTATGATCACTGAAGTTAAGCAATGTCGAGCCTGGTCAGTACATAGATGGGTGACCACTTGGGAATACCAAATGCTGTAAGCTTGGGTGTGTAGGTGGTGTAAACAATCAGAGCTTGGAATTGAAAATCAAAGAGACAATTTCCAATTCCGTTTGTGTTCGTTATATTAACTTATCCTTGGGAAAGATACGAATCCACCTCTTCTCCCTCCAGCTATGCGTTAATTCGTAGGACTTGTATCACTAAATCATTATCATCTCTTACAATCTGAAAATATTTTCTAGTTTTAAATAACTTGCAAAGGGTTGATAGTCTGTAAAAAATCAGACTTTGTTGAGAAATAAATAAAAAGAATTGATTTTGAAAATTCTTTTAATTCTTTGCATTGTTTGTATTTTTTTTGTTTTGTTTTCTATTTTCTCAACAGAGGCAGAAAACTTGTGTTTACGGCTTACTGAGAAAATAAATTCTCTAACAGACAAGAAATTACTGCTTCTTCATACGCCTTTGCAAATGGTTTCTTTGGAAGTGAGTACACACCTTTGTCAAATGATTTACATGATTCTTTAGGCTGAAAAGTCTCAAGAAATTTTTATTTATTTTTTTCTGTTAATGTCGTTTCATGCTGATACTCTTCAGAAAAAGACATAAACATAAAAATTTATTGTCTTTATCCTGTTCAACACAAAACAAGAAATAAGATATTACTACCAAAATGTCCTTCCTTTTCATCTAACAATTGTATAAACAATTTATTGCAGCTGTTGACGAACTTAAAAATAAGCAAACAGCTGTCACAATTTCTTTTTTTTATCTTTAAATAATGAAAATTTGTAAGCTTATTGGTGTGTGTTGGGACCAAAGATGCAAAATTGGCTGTTGGCATCTACTGCTTTGTTTAAATAGTTGAGCATTAATTACCAAGGAGGTGGGGAAATATTATTTGGTACCTGTATGTCAAGTGAATAAAATAATTATCTTTTAATTTATCAAACTTGAACTCTGATCACATTTTTTTTTTTTTATTTTGATTTTCATATATATATATATATATATATATATATATATATATATATATATATATATATATAACTTTTAAGGGTTCATGAACCCTTAAAGTTGTCTGTTTCTTAATATAATTAATATTTGCTCTGTTTTTACATTGAGCTCTCAGGAATTATCCATACGGATTACCAAACACATCTTTACCTATATATATATATATATATATATATATATATATATATATATATATATAATCTGAAATAATAATTAGATTCTATTTAAGAGCACTCAAAAATTGTAACCCTCAATATTTATGTGATGAGTAAAAATATATTGAAAATACTTTTCAGCTTCTCCGACAGTATAATTATTTCATATTGTGTGAAAAAGAAAGCTCCTCAAATATTTAAAATAAAAGAATAAATTAATGCAGTAAATCCAGCAAATGAGATCTTTTACAGATCAACACACTCAGTACATTAGTCATTGAGTCTGACCATAATTTCACTTTTAAAATATGCTGTTTTAATTAAGAGTAAAACTTATAAAAATAAAAGTACTGTGAAACTGAATGGGATCATCTACACTGCATATTTAGACACATCTGAGAAAAAAAGCTTAATTTCAAATTTTAGCATTTCCTCTTGGTACATAAGTAAAAAAAAAAAAAAAAAAAAAAAGATCTCTTCCCCTGCTTCCATCAACAAAAATATTACTTTAAATCAGATGAAGTCTTTTGAGGGGATAACATATGGGACACAGAATTTTTTTCACTTTTATTCATATGCCTAACATTGTTCTGATATATAAAAATTTATGTACAATACTCTCTCATGCACACAGGGTGCGATTGGTAAATTGTCGCCGTTTTATATTTTTAATTTTGTGTACGTGTGTTGTTTTTGATTTTTTTCAACTGTATAGTATAGTAGGGTCAGTTGGGCACCATCTGTGAGAAAAAGAGCACCACGACATTCATTCCACCAGAAATTTAGAAAAGGCATGCTGTACTGCTTGGCAATTGTACCGGAAGCTCCAATACAAACATTTCAGTGCTTCGGTGTCAATCTGAAGATAGTGTGGAAGATTCGGAAAGAGTTGGATGCATCTAATGGTGATTATGAAGATACAGCAGCTCGGAAAACTCACTCTGATCATTCTGATAAGGAAAGAACTCTTGAATTTGTTGGTGAGGGCCTCAGAGTCAACACTGAGACCTGCATCAAATGCATTGAGGAGGTAGTGCTGCCCTAGGTCAAGATGTTGGCTGCTGGAAGACCCTATGTCTGGTAACAGGATGCTGTACCATGCCACACAAGCAGGAGACCACAGCCATGGCTATCAGACAATTTCTGTGACCACATCCTACCTTACATCTGTTTAGCTAATTCTCCAGACTGCAACCCTCTTGTTTATTATGTGGGGTGCATTTGAGTGACAGACCAATAAAACTCCTTGTAGTACCAAAGATGAACTGAATGCAAGGATTATGGCAGCATTCACCAACTCACCAACAAAGAGACCGCTTGGAGGAAGTGCCGAGATTCCGAAGTTGTCTGGGGCCATGGTTGAAGATTTTATTGAATAAATTTACTCTTTAATATTACAAGATACTTTTGTGTAATTTTGATAAATATGTGTTAAAATGAGATGTCAATGTTATTTTAATTTTAGCATCATTTGGATGATAATTTATCCGTTGCAACCTGTGTGTGTGTGTGTGTGTCTGTAATATATATATATATCTATGCTGCAGAAAGCTAGCATCATATGAAATAACTGGGAAAGCCTAACTCTAGATTGTTGATAAGGGTTTTAATATTAACTTTCCTGAGAATTTTGGCATAGATTTTGATCTAACATATAATCAGTTGTGTCTGTCTAATTAAGGCAGGACTCAAAACTTATCAAAGACACACCACTCAGAAAAGGAAGTCATTCACAGTGTTTCCACTTGCAGTGTAAACAAGAATGTGCCTCAGTTGGTGGACTAAAATGTCATTTAAAAATTCAACAAAATATTAATGTAACAGCTACTGCAAGTATTACCAACATTGCCACATCTGTACTAGAGAATGTAAGACCCTAGCAAGACGAAAAAATTCCATCTGTCCTTCCCATATTTGAGGATAAAATAAGTGATGGCATTACTTCAAATTGAGTCATAGCCATTGTGTATGTATGTATGTTTTACTTGCAATAAAGAGTTCATATTGCCACATCTGTACAAGAGAATGTAAAACCTTAGCAGGAGAAAAAAAAACATATCTGTGCTGCCCATGTTTGAGGATGAAATAAATGGATAGCAGTACTTGAAATAGTTATGAACATTGTGTATGTATGTAAATTTGGTTTTAAATAAAGAGTTTATATTGAAAGTGTTGGTTAAACAACTAACTCTTAAAAATTTCAGTAAAAAGTGCTTAAAATAAAACTGACCTGATAAAAAATGTAATAATGGTGATGTGTTGGTGTTCCTCAACTCTTGCCAACACCAATTCCTGTATGATCACCAAAGTTAACCTGCAAAGGATTGATAAGCCATAGAAAACAAATCAATCAATCAATCAATCATCAATCCTTGCCAGCTGTTGAATGAAAAATATGAAGTAATCACAGGATACTACTAGTATGCTAAGAAATGTTTATTAGCTAACATGGCACCTGACTGAGACGGGTGATAGCACCTGTTAGGGTCCCAATTATGGGAAAATAGTGAACTCCCAAATGAAAACAATGCACTATGAATGTATAAAAATATATATTTATATTAAAAAAATTAGCAACAATACAATTTTAAAGCAAAATGACACACAATACATTTTATCTATAGTTGAAGGTATACAATTGTATTCAAAATATTTACATTTCAGCAATAAATAACCCATAGAGATGTTGACATACCACTAAACAAAATCAACCAACCAACCTGACTGAGAAATACGTCAGGGTTCATAGATTGGATTTTCATGGTATTTATCGAATATATAATTCACTGACAGTCAGATGAGCCCCAGGTTGGATGAAATTTAGGTAGCATGTGAGCAAGAACCTTTTGTATATTTATTACATTTCTTATCTAAATAACAATAATGATTGTCTTGTTTGTTTTTCATCTTTGCAGGCCCTTGGAAAATTGGCCACTAAATTCCCAATTCTGGCCAGTACGATGCTTGCCTCACTCCGGGAATATCTTGTGACCCCTTCACCTGTGCTTAGTAAACTTAGCAAATACGCCACCCAAGATGGCAATATCAAGATCACCATTACAGATGAGAGTCGCGTTCAAAAACGACAGGGCAACCAGCGTGACCCCAAGAACAAACTGCTGGCCACCCTGGAAAACTTGAGGGACACAGCTGTTACCAATGTATGCAGGTTGGTCTCAACTAGTTATTAATTCCTGTTACATCACCAAAAACAACAATTTACTTACTATTGGTACGATTTTCTTAGGATTTAGTTCCATCCTGAATATCTTCCAAATCCACTTAAACAAAGTTATCATCATCTCCCAAAATTGCCATCATTTTGTTCACATAATAGTTATAATCAAGACTTACCACCCTACAGCCTTTTTTCATGCTTAGGGTTAGCCAGAGATTTATCTGGGGAAATGTTTTAACAGATGATGGAAAATGTGACACTAATATCAAAAGGTGCATTAAGATAGCAAAAGATGCCTTCCAAAAACTCAGCAAAGTATCAAGAAACAGGAAAATTCTGTTAGAAGCAAAAAAAAAAGTGCTAAACAGCTATGTAATATCATTTGTCCTTTATGACAGAGAATGCTGGATAATTTACCCACAGATGATGAGGACACAGCAGAGATGGGATTCTACAGGAGGATGCTGACAATACCCTAGAGTGTGAAATATGTCTTAAGGAAAATAGAAGTAAAAAGGACATTTATATTCAGAATCAGAAACAAACAGGTGAAATTTCTTGGACACACAATGAGAGAAGCAGGCTTGGAGAATTTGACGCTCACAGGGCATACTGAAGACAAGCGGACCAGAGGGAAATAGTAACCTAACTAATGAGCTTGTTAGTGGGAAGGATTGTAAAAAGAAATATTGCTAAGAGCTACACGGGATAGGAAGTTGGGGAGAGCCATGTTCACTCATGTTCTGAAGGGATATGTCACATAAAATTGTTATAAAGCTCTAATTATCATACAGGTGCAGGTGTGATGATTCGTGATTTTGATTATGATGATTATATGAACAAAAATGACGGCAATTTCAGATGATGATGATGACAAACTTTTTAAACTGGATCCAGAAGACACTTATGATAGAATCAAATCCATTGTGCTAAACTCTTAAAAACAATTTTCTTTTGTCACTCAATAATTGTACATGAAAATATTATGTGGTATAGAAGAAAAGTCCGTCTGAAGTTATTATGCAAATCATGTAAATCTCAACAACTTGAATTTACTTTGAAAAATCTTTGTCAAATTTTAAATGATTAATTTAGACAACAAAACAAAGCTGGAATTGAATTTTTAGGTAGTTTTAATGTGTTTTATTAATGTTCTTGAATTATTATTAAAAAAAACTGCAATATGAAGTTATTATGCTGATTAAACCAATATTAGTTTAAGGTGTCTAAAATCTCATAAAAGTATATTTTCTTTGTTTTAATAATATCTATTGAAATATGGGTAATGAAAAGTACTGATAACAGAAAATAACAAAGACATTGAGTGAGGGAAGTGTCCACATTGGAAATATTAAAGGAGCTTTGCAGAAATCATCGAATGATAAAGATGGCTGTTGAAAATATAACTAGGTTGAGAACTAGTGTCAAAGGAAAAGGTTTTAAGAACTTGTATCCTCAAGCTAAAGCAAATTATAGTGAAACAACTACTTTTGACTAATTTGGAATTGAGGGAATCATAAATGTCAAAATGTGTAGAAGACTTTTTGCAAATTGGGATCCACCAAGAAATCTCCTAAGTAAAATCCTCTTTGTGAAGCAAATATTTTAAAGTGTCAAAATTGGGCCAAGAAATACATGAAAATTGACTTTTCGAAAGTAACTTCGATGACATGTGATGGACCTGATAGATGATCTAAAGGATGGATTTTATCTGCTACAGATGTGCCTGTGGCTAAAAGAAGGTATGAAGGAGGCGTCAATGTAATGATGAGGACTAGAATTGCTGAACAAACCATTACTGGAACATACTGGAACATTCAAAATTGATGAAGGAGCTAAACTGAACAGTGATAACTATTGCATTTTCATGGACAAGACTTTCTTTGAATGGTACAAGTCCTAGCTTTGCAGTTTCAAAGTGAAGTGTGTAAATTTATGCATGGCTATGCTCCTTCTCTCATGTATCTAAACTTACCTGGGAATTCTTTGAGTGTAAAAGGTGTTTTACAGGAATGGCTACCATAATGTCCCGAATATGAATCTGAATGAAAATCTGTTGTCATTAGTAAAGATGAAATTATATGAATTTGGTAAACAGAATGACAGCAAAGCAGAAATGCAGGAATCAATGAAAACCACCATGTCGGAAATTGAACCTAATGAAGTAAAAAAAAAAATGTAATAAAATCAATGGATTATTATCCATTGATTTTATTACATTTTTGCTGGCTGTTATTAAGAAGGGACATTATATTAAGATGTAAATGCTTCATAAACTTACATATGTTTGTTATTTGTTCTATTATAGGTATTGATAAATTTTTGATGATTTTATTACCTTTTTATTGAAGTAAAGTGATTTTCTGGTTTTGCATAATAACTTCAAACTGCAACTTAAAACTACCTAAAAATTTAGCTCCAATTTTGTTTCAAGGTTGATATGCTGTAAAACTCAATCAATCTCGTTTCAGTGTTTAAATTAATTATTGATCAAATTTGAGTTATTGAGGTTTATATAATTTGCATAATAAGTTCAGACACTGTAACAGTAATCTTAGGCTGTGCAATAGGCTCAGGCATGACTTTTTAGGTTGGTATGTCTTCTTTTTAGAAGACCACCAACGCATTTGAACAACTGAAGGATATCAAGCGATTTAAGTAATATATGTGCTACAAAAAAAGCATATTGATACACAGAAACACCTGCCTGTCTCTAATAGAACAATTTATTTTTTTTTTCACCTTGTACAAGGCCTGGGGGCCACTTGAGGTAGAGGGTTAAGCTGTAGTTTATATGGATAGGAGGGGGAAGATAATGGTTAACTCTAGACTTAAACAGGTTAAGTCATCAAGGAAACATCCTCTTGTGAGTCTGTTCCACAGAGCATTGGTTCGCAGGAAGAAACTGAGTAGAACTTACTTCTTGCTGATGGAATACAGAGGGAATGTGGGTGGTTTGTTACTGTGTAAGTGGCATGGCGGATTAGATCTGGCAGAACTGAGGAATGTAGCTCATTTGAGCACTTTCCATGGAACAGTGAGAGACTCACCAAACCCCACCTGTGAGAGAGAGAGAGAGAGGTTGGAGGGTGGAAAATAATTCTTCTCCAACGAGGACAGAGACGCTTTTGCACTCTATCAAGACAGGAAAGTGAGGACTGGGTTGTTCCCACTTAAATATAGCAACAGTACTACATTTTCAGCCTGGTCTGTATCTTATAATGCTAGAGAAAAGAATTCTGGTTGATAATACCATCATTCTAAAGAAATATGACTGCTTAATGAATGCAACTAAAAATTATCAAAGCTCTTTATATAAAACAGTTCAATAGCTTTGTCCACCACAAGGAAAGTTGGCTCCCTGTGCCATGCCAGGAAATTTTTCTCGCCAGAGTCGATCCTTCAAATCTACAAATCAACCATTTTCCTTTGCATGGAGTATTGCTGCCATATATGGTCTGGTGCCCCTTATGTTTGTCTCAAGAGTCTTGATAAAATCCAGAGACGGATATGCAACGTAAATGGCCCTGATCTGGCATCTCGTCTGCAGTCGCGCTCTCACAGATGTGCCGTCGCCTCCCTCTGTCTTTTTTACAAATACTTTCATGGTAACTGCTCTGAGGAGCTGCTTTAGCTTGTTCCCAAACTTCATGAATTTAAGTGTTCTACTAGACTGGTATTTCGCTCACACCCTTTCACTGTCGAAACTGTTAAATGTAGCCATCTCATCTACTCCAATAGCTTCATGTCTCGCACCTCTCGCCTGTGGAACTCCCTCCCCTTTTCCTGTTTCCCTGATAGCTATAATCTCAAACTATTCAAATGTAATGTCAATCAACATCCCCTGATGCCCTGATCTATCCCCTTATCCTTCTATTCATCCTTTCCTCTATCACTCCTATTTGCTCTCGCTCCAATTCTCTGTAACCCCTTGTGTGTTAGTGGCTTCCAATCTTGCTTGGAGTGAAATGCTTAAAAAAAAAAAAAAAAAAAAAAACAAAAATCAAGCATCAACCTTACTTTATCTAACAATAGTTGGGTATCTTCTAAGACACCTCAGCATAAAGTCATGCCACATCTGTTTGTACAGCCTAAGATTACTACTATTTCTTCACAGGACACCTTAGAATAAAAACATGGAAGAATATTAGGTGTATACATGTTTTTTTTTGTTTTTTTTTTTTATTATGAGTTTTCCTTCATCTTGCTTTTTATGCTAAAAATTCTGGCAAGATATGATTGGTATGATTATAAATCAAAGATGATGTTATACATGAAAGGCATAAAATCGGACATTATGACACAAACCATGCTAACAGACATTGCTAGTGCAAGGGAGATAATTCTTATATAGCAAAAAGGCACAGACCTTACAAAGAGTATGTGGCTTATTATAGTAATTATTACCAGCTGTGTGTAAGTGATAATATCATAGGTAGGATTTATTAACCAAATATGTGAAAGATTTAATTCACTCTGATGATTACAGTGATAATCATGATATTATTTATATTTTAATTTATATATATTATATAAATTAAAATATAAATAATATGTGCATTATTATATTATCAAAACATTATAATGTTTTTATAATATAATAATCCACATCTTCTCTCCCCAGCTATGACCCAGAATGTTGGGATAAAAAGCAATAATAATTAAATGAAATAAACTAGTAATGTAATAATACTGGTATTGGACTCAGAGTTTTGAGATAAAGAGCAACAATAATAAGATGGAATCAAACTAGTAATAAAATAATAATGAAGAGAAAATTAGGCACGGTGTTAAAAAAAGCAATGATGATGATATATAAAAAAAGTATCTCAAGGCAAAATTTTCAGTATAAATACCTACAATTAGTAATATGAATGAAAATGCTTCTTAGAAATTATAATCAGTTTTTGTCCAAGTTTTCATATCTCTCTTGCAATTGGAGACATGAAAATGAATGTAATGTTTACAAATATCTAGAAATAATAGACTTTGAAAAAGAATTGTTTTTATGTGTTTATGTCAGGAGTGAAATGGGGCTGAAAAGTGAATGACCATTCATACACATCTGGAAACTAATCAGAATACATTGACTTAGTGTATTGTTTTTGTCATCTCTCTTTTCAGGTGTTTGAAGGCTGGCTTACTTGTAGACCCAGACATTGTACAAGCTTTCTTGGCATCCGTATCCAACAGACTTTATCGAACAGAAACCAGTGACAGGTAGGGAGTGCGAAAAACACTTTAAAAATCTTTTTTCTTTTATGATAATTTTGGTCTTTTATGTTACATACAGACTTGTCCCCTTTAAATGAAAGAAAAATTATAATGTAAGGGAGAAAAATCATTTTTAGAAAAGTCCTTTTGTATCAAAGAATAGACAGAAACAACTATTATAAGTATTATTTTGTTTTTATTTATTTTTTAATTCACAAAAAGAAAAATATTAAATACATATAATAAAGTAAATGGTACAAAATAATTTATATAGCGTTTTTATTTTTCTTATTTATTATCAGAGATGTTTTGGTTTTGAAGGCACACTGTAAATCAGTGTGATTTCTAATTTGCAGTAACTCTATAAATAATTCTTATCATTCATCTCTGAATAACCCTGTCCGAAGTTGAGATGCCAGGTCAGGATACTGATCTGGCATCTCAACTTCAGTCACTTTTCCAACACCATAACATGGCTTCCCTCTGTCTTTACTATAAACATTTTCATGGCAATTGTTCTAATGATTTTTCCTCATGGTACCTTGACCACATGAATTCAAATGTGCTACTAGATTGGCAACTAGGTCTCACCATTTTACTTGCTCCTTTCCGATTGCTTGCTTCCCTGCCACCTACAACCTTCATAAATTTAAATGCAATGTCAATCACCATTTTCTGTCGTCCTGAAACCTTTTCTTTTATTGTCCTTTCTCCTCAATAAAATCTTTTCATTCTCTTTCACACTCAGTATAGTCGTGGGTATGATGATAAACTAAAGCAAAGTGTCTGATTGGGAGATTGGAGGTTTTGAGGAACATGGAACAACCTCTTAATTGCTGCTGTTCCAAGGTGCAACTTGATCCAGTGTGGTAACACCTGTTAGGATCCAAGCTATGGGAAAATAACCCCCCCCCCAAAAAAAAAACAAAACACTATAAAAGTATAAAAATACCAGCAAATACATTTTTATAGTAAAAATAACAGCAATACTTTTTATATAAAAAAATTACCAACAATATGTATTTATATATGTATTGTTAGCAGTTTTACAATAAATAGTAAAATGATCAACAATACATTTTATCTGTAGTTGAAGGCATGCAGTTGCATTCAAAATATTTAGATTTCAGCATTAATTAACCCATAGACATTGATATGCTGCAAAACAGTCAACCAACCAAAATTCACTCCCAGTAACCCCTGTTGTCTTAGAGGCATTATTGCTTTACTTGGGATAAATTAATTAAAAAAAAAATAAAAATAATGTGATACCGTCACAGTTTCTTTGGGAATTATAACACATCTGTGGATCTTTTTTGGAACTGGATAATTAATTTTTCTTATAATGATGACTAGATTGCTTGTGGTAGGAATCTTTAAGTGAGATATATTTGTGAAAAAGAATGAAAACAAAAATAACAAACGGCTGATGGATAAGCAAATCTGAAAACTGCATTGGGTTTAACATCACAAAAGCAGCAAGGTTGAGAGGATGAATCTAAAGATCATGCAGCCACTTGTAGTGTAATGCTCCCACGTTAAACGACCTTGTGTCACATCCTGACCCCGTGGGAGTCAAGTAAATACCACTTGTAGTGTAATGTCTTTCAAACTGCTATATGAGAGTATAGTGAATTTGAATGTTTGAGGTGACTCTCCACTGTATCTTTATACCAAACTAAAATTAGTAAATCTGTTCAAATCCTCCAAGGAATTATTATTTTTGGTTCTAGCTTGTTATAAGAAATTGTTCCTTTATATTAATGTCATGATTATTTGCATTTTTTGCTCTTTATTGAGACTGTGCTGACATATGGTATCACTGTTTGGTATGTAAGCTGCTCAACATAGGACAAGAGAACCCTCGAGAGGGTTATAGATGTTGCTTGCTGTTCTCCTTGGAGGATATTTCTAATTTTCATTGACACGGCAGAGAAGAAAACCTAATGAAAAACATCAGGTATCCTAGGTACCACTTGTTTGATCAGTTACCCTCAGAGTGACATTTTACATCCATTACTTGTAGGACAAAGCATTTGAGGGACAGCTTTTATCCTTGGACCCTGTCTAAAATGAATTTCTGCTGATACTGCATGCTAACAATTTTAAATGTATTTTAAACATTATTACTTTTTTTCATCTGATGTTTTGTCTGTGTTTGTTCTATCTTCATTGAGTGGGGCATTTTTTTTTGTGCACCTGGGACCTGCTGTTCAATTTCATCTGTAATATGACCATAATTTCACTTGGTACAATTTTTCATTGTATTGGTCAAATGCTACTGTTTTAGTGGTGCTAGTAGCAGCAGCAGTTGTTAGCACAATCTTAAAAAATAGGTTCCTGTTTGATTTGTTTTCTGCATTCAAGTTGATTTCAAAGATTGATGCATTTCTCAGAGCAAATATGTATGTTAATCTGAAATGACAGTTCTACCATATGAGCCCTTTGATTGCTTATGGTACATGTAAAATGGTGTAGTTCATAACTATAACAGAAGAGAGCCAAGGATGAAAGGATTATTCTCTCATTTATGTTTCCCCCATTGTGGGCATTATTATATCTATATATTGCACCGCCAGGGCAAACATGCTTTATTCTTAGAGAGACTTTTATACCACTAAAACATATACAAAATTTTATGTACATATATACATGTGTCCCACGCAGAGAAAAATATATTACATATATCTACACAGTAGAGTGTAAGGAGAAACAAAAAGGAAGGGTCTTACATATAATATGGAGATACTCCTGTGTCTGTAGAAGCTAGGATTCAAGGTTCAAACAGGACAGAATTCATCTACTATGATCCAGGTGTGGACATATTCCATGAAAGGGAAACCGCAAGTATTGGGTTTTCCCAAATTGAGGACTGTGAGTCGGAATTTCTTTCTATATCTGGGAAAGATATATTACCAAAGGGAAACTGTACCATGAATTTGTAAGCTGTAGTATGTGCTGGAGGAAGCAGATTTAGCCTCAACCCGGACCCCTTGGCCCAGGCTAAAAAAAACTAATGCTCAGTTTGGCTGCTATAAACAAACTGAAATTGACTACCACTTTAAGTGGCTGTCACATGACCCATCCATCTCCACCAAAGGGAAAAATAATCACTTTCTTTATCCCTACACCTAGATGAAATAATGACATAATGAAGAGGTTGACATTCTGCACATGGTTAGGCAGGAATCCCCCATCAATACAATAACAGCTATTGGACTTAAGAAACTTATTTTCCTGAATAATTGTTTTAAAAGAAAGATTTTATAAATTCAACCAACAGTAATACTGATAACATAGAGAGAAGATAGTAATGTGTTCAATTCCAAGAATGAACACATCTTCACTTTAAGTGCTATGTCCTGTCAGGATGCAAGCAATCATTGGTCTCCACAACTTCCATTTTTCTTTTTCTACTTAGTATGTGTTACCATGATTGTTCTTGGAAAAGATATTAGTGTGGTTTCTTGTTGCCTGATTTATAGATTTTGCCTTCTGTATTCGCTTTCTCCTAGACTGGTTCCAATCAGAGCCAACTATTTAACTCATAGCCAAGGAAAGAAATGTGCCTTTTCCAAGAGCATTAGTAGAAAGTAATCACAAACTGTCTCATCTGGAATTTGAACACTGCTTACCAGCTGCAATTTCTGTTAATTGCACCAGTATTGTCACAGGAAGGATACTGAATATGACAAAAACAAAGTATGAAAAAAAACTGTATATCTTTCTGGACAAAGTTAATGGCCCTATTTTAAGTTTCTTTATGGTTACTGGATGCAATATGAATTTGAGGAAGGCCAGAGAATAGAGGGATAGAAACAAAGATAAAGAAAAAAAAAAAAAAGGACTTTGGGAGGAAAAAGAAAAGATCATTGTCTGATATCAAATTGGAATTTGAAAAATTATAGTTATGTTTTATAATTTTCAGAAGAGAGCTTATTAATTCTGAAATTGTCTGGACTATTTGTTCTTATTTCTTTTCATCACATTTTACATGATCCATTTTATAGTGTACATGTCATATGGAAATAGAAGGTGGGCAGGGTTGGTCACTCTTTTCTTTCTCTCTCATTTTTTCTCCCTCTTTTCTCTCTCTCTCTCTCCCTTCTCTCGCTATCCTTTTTGCTCTCCTTTTCTCTCACTCTCCCCCTTTCTCTTTCTCTCCCCCATCTCCTTTCTCTCCCTCCTTTCTCTCCGCCATCTCCTTTCCCATCCCCATTCTCTATATCTCCCCTGCTGAATATCTGAGGAAGGATGTAACATAAATTGGTCTAAACAATTAAATTGTGCTCCCAGCCACTAATTTAAAGACTAAAATGGAGAAGTAATGTAATTTTTCAAGGTTCATATCTCTCTCTCTCTCTCTCAAATGATGAGCTTAAATAAAATGTTAAAGAAAATTCCCTTGCCATTCAATGAACTGTGAATATTAGAATAAAAACAAAGAAATGTTTTGTCAAAACAGACATGTTTTTTTTTTTTTCTCGTCTGTGTTGGTAAATATGTGTCTTTAACATCAAATGCCTGAATGTGTTTGTCTCTTGATTTCTGTTGCGATGATTGCATGCCTTGTTTTTGCATGTTCCTCACAGGAAAAAGACTGCTGAAATCCTTCAGCTGGACCGACGTCTCCAGCATGTGGTTGACTGCGAAAGACAGCCGGGGGGTAGACGTTGCCGAAAACACAAATCCCCTGCCAACATCTTGAGGCAATTCCCACCTTGTAACTTTCGGCTTCACATTATTTTTTTTCCTTCAGCCTTTTTTTTTTTTTTTTTTTTTTTTAAGATTTGGTTTATGTAAAGTCAAAAAAAAAAAACTGCAGTACATCTTCAAATTAAGTCTTAGTTTTTTAACCCTCCTTTTTTTTTTTCTTTGTTCCTGCACTGCTCTCTCCTTAACACTTTCCTGCTTTCTGTGTTCCTATTCTTCTCTTTTGTTCTCTATTATTTTCTCTTTTCTCAATTTTTCTTCTCTGCCTTTTATCTTTTTTTTTTTTTTTTGCT